CGGTAGCAAAATAACCAACTATATTTAAATTGTTGAGCTTGCACGAGGTTTATATACAGATTCATGCGACTAACGTTTCGACGTCTTCGCCTTCATGAGAGCCGATGATCCGAGTCGATGGTCCACAGTTGTTCGTCTTCTCGATGTGGCGTATTCGTAGTCATACCGAGACGTGTTTTTCAGTGAACAGGCATGCTCACTGAGACATTGGCTCAAATGAGGACAAAAACGTCGAAACGTTAGCCGAATAAATCTATATGTCAACCTCGTGTAAGCTCAACGATTTAAATACGGCTGATAATGCTATACTATCAGCTTTAACGAGCGACGATGGGACTGCCATCACAATCTGCCGTGATATGGAATTGATAACGGAAAATTTCGACGCCAATCCTTCCTTCTCCACAGTCCTCACTGAATGTTCGAATACCTGTTAAAACAAAAAGCAAGAGGAGAGGCTCAAATCCAGCTCCTGATAATATTACAGTCGATTCCCTTTGAGTTCACAGTGAATCACAAACTACATATGCGTTTCGTGACCTAAATCTCATCTTACTTCAAAAGGAAAAATCCTACATGAGTACACTGTCATCCTATTCAAGAGGTTGGCAGAATGGATATTCGTAATTATCGTCCAATATTCTTGTTGAGTGTAGTGTATGAGCACTTCACGAAGATTATCACCTTTACGCAAATTCGAGACCTTGGATAAGGCACAACCGGTTGAGCAAGCAGGATTCCGACTGGATTTCTACTGCGTAAGCTATATTATTGCGAAATCCTGTCGAATGACATCGTCCTCTTCGATTTCGAGAAGGAGCAATGGAGTAGACGCGATGTTCAATGGGGCTAACTAACCAGGGAAAGGATAAAATTGTACATAAATCGGAGGGAAAGCTAGTTCGTGAAAAACCTACTATGCAAAAGTGAACAAATCTAATTGGATGGTTCTTTAACTGTAGAGACAATCTCGTTCGTGTATCTTGGTGTTTTAATGAAAATAACATGTGGCCCAGTGGTCGGAGGCGCCCTGCAATACACATGGGATCGATTCCCTCGTCTCTAGCCACCAAGCCTTCCATCCTCTGGGTTGGTACCATACTTGTCTGGGAGGATAGAATCACTGGCTCGATACACCGCTAGGCCACCGCGAGTCATTGTATAGGCTAGAAAATAACATGGTTCAAAGGGTGCGTGTAGCGCAGTGGTCGGAGGCACTCTGCAATACACGTGGGATCGATCCCTACGTCCCGGGCTCACCAAGCCTTCCATCTCTGTGGAGTCGGAAAATTGCGACCAGACTTGTCTGGAAGGAAAGCAGCACTGGCTCGATACATCGGTAGGCCACCGCGAGTCTTTCTAAAGGCCAGGTATGCATTCAATCACCTCCAAACGATGCTTAATGAGGTCGGACGCATGGCGCGTCCCTCAGGTCCATTGATCGACGCCGAGAGCATCATCCTTTTCTTATGCTTCTAATATGGCTCATGTGAACCATCTATATATGCAAATGGAAACAAATACTGGATCGCTGAGTGTACGCCGTGGATCTTACCATGTTCGAAGTGCACCATAACCATGCATGACGATTACACGAAAAATAAACAAACTGAAAATGTGCAGGGAACAGCACTTCTTGTGGAGATGGGCATACAACTAAATGCTTGTTACATCTTGAAAGGTTATACACATACATATATATAGTAAATGTTTAGTGTCCTATATATACGTATATATATACAATGTGTATATATGCCTTAAAAAGGAGGATAGCACAGTGGTGGTGATGTTCGTCATCACGAGTATGGTGCTAGTTCGATTCCGCACCGGGTCAACCTAGCCCCTCATCCTTCCGCGGTCCGGAAATTGGTACCGGACTTGTCTGTGAAACTCTGTGCAATCCAATTGGGAACGCTCTAGCCCTGCTACCTCAAGACTCCAGGGAAAATTGCTCGATCAAAATTCTACGACATTCAAGATGAAATGAAAATCGTCAAGCAGCAACCGAAGCCACACGTAAAAGCTGAAGATTTTCGTGGGCAATGGATGCGAGTAAGCGAATCGAATGTGAGAAGTGCACGGATCCGCACAGTGGACGTGAAGACGGATCAAATAAAATAGAATAAATATGTACTGATTTCTGGAAGGAGCATCCCGTACGAAGACGATTAGCGAAAACCGATTTCCTCAACACTCTCTATACAACTAATGTTGGTGATGTAGGCACGGAATGTGACTTTGTAATCATGGGGGATGAGATCTTTTGTCTTAACTATTTTTGATAAGAAGTTACACACGTGTATTGGATCTCCATTCGTAAGATCCGGATGTAGTCATGGGTAGCCTGCAATGTTTTTCCGCAGTGCGATTAGAGCACCTAGAGATTTTATTCTCGCTGAAGGTGACCCCGAACGGACTCCTATGAATTTCGCTGCTATATGACTGCATGCTGTGAGCTAAATCGGTAGAAGATATGGAGCAAACAACAAAAAACAAGACGTAGTCAATTCGCTAAGTCCAACTGTGTTTCAAGGCAATAGTAAAGTTGCTTCCAGTTCGTATCTACCCTCAAAAATGGCTGGGATCTTTCAAATAAGGTGATATTAGTGTGTGTGTGATGTCCTTTGCACTCCTAACAGTTTCCCGTCTCTTCGCGGCTGGAAAGTGTTTCTGGGTGTTGGGCTGCGAGCTTGGGAGATCCTGCCGGGAGATTCATCCATCTAGCAACGTCTCCCAAGCTGAAGGAGTCCGGCACTTCTATCAGGAAGCCTAGCTAAGAGTAAACCGATATCAAGATCTACCACCGTCCTGGTATCAAACTAGTCTCATAGTGGCAAATCTCCCTCTGATCCACAAAGGCGGCAGCTGCCTGTGGTGGTCACGACCTAGGGCAAACTTTGGCCAGGCTGACCTCGGAACTAGGGAAACACAGTAGCTAAATCAGCAAAATTCCGAAAAATGGAGATTATGCTGCTAGGGCCCGCACAACTAGTGACGGCGGGCCGTCCAAGTATTTGGATATCCAAGGTGTCCTTTGCTTCTTTTGCACATGGAACAGATTTCGACGAAAGGCCCTTAAAACGCCTTTCTTAAAAGAACGCTTTTCCATACAGAACATAGAAATACGCTCAGTCACTTGAATAAAATCTGGCGTTGATTGTTGGAAGTAATCGGTCATAAAGTCTTCCACTTATGATCACAGTGCTTCACCAAAACGCTCGACTTCGCCTCGAAAAATCTCACAAGAAGCTGACCGACCATTCGGAGGCTTAGTACTGGAATTCTCCAGCCGCAAACTACACCAGTTGTTCTTCAGTTTCTCCACTCCCTCTACAATGTCCTGGACTTCTGTCGCGAGGAACTGGCGGTCGGCTTGGAAAGATATATGGATGGTGAAGTAAAATCCACAACCATTTGGTTGAATACGAAGATTTTTGCGTCAGATAAACGAATTTTCTATTCGTCATAATGACATCGACATATTGAACAGCTAGACGTATTCGTATGGTTCAAACAAATAAAAGAATCAATAACATTTCTTGTTTACAATTTTGCATTCATCGAAGACAAGCGGAGTATTTTACGACGCTCTACGTCGCAGAATCGTTTCAGCGTCATCGGGAACCCTATAGAAGCCGTGGAGTTCAGCTTTTATTTGGTTCAAGCGAGTTCGAGTGGCTCTTCGTGAGGCTCTTCTGTGCTTCGGGTCGGTGATCGGATAGAGCTGAAAGCGTGCCGACTCCGGGACGCGACGGCTTCTGCCCGTACTATCGATCGCGCGAGCCCCGAAGAACGCTGCCTTCCGCGTGTTGACCTCTCCAGTTCCTCGCATTCAGAACGCCTATCTTTCATCACTTTTCAACATCGCATAATCTCAGCGGAATTCTGGTTATGATGCTCATCACACATCTCTCCGTGCCGAGTGCAGGAGTGGCCCAGTGGGTCCCGCTCGCTCTAGGCACTCGTTGACCATCGTATCTTCCTTGCAGGCTTTTCGTGAAGAACTCTGACCGTCAAGTCGGTGGTCTTGCTGCTGTGCTCTGCACTTCTGCAGAACTTCTCCATTGAAAAATCAATTTATACAGTTGTCTTGCGTCTCATTTGAATCCAATAATATTGTAGGATACATAATATTCAGATGGGAGCGATTTTAAAGTTTGTGGCCGTTTTATAAGCGCTGTGGGCTCCTACCCAAGTGAAGACTGTGTTTGACTTTCGATATAGTTTCTGGAAAGTCTCCGGAAGAGAGCGCTGTTGAGGAAATGGTCGGTGTGTACGTGAAATGAATGGCCAACGGATAAAGCTGGGCCGAAGTCGAAACATTGTGGCACGTGCGCACGAGATTCGTGTTCTTTTTTAGCGCTGTGGTAAAAACCTGCTTCAATTTGTAATCGATCGATCGGAGAAGAGATTGTGATCGAGCGATGGTCGGTTCTCTTAGCAAGGATTGCGATACTCTGTCGTTTCCACGTCTCAACACTTGGTCAGCTCATGTTCTAAGCATTTCCATTTCCAAGCCATCGTCGCTGGTTGTATTCTCTCTTCTTTTCATTTTTTTTCTGGGTCGATATTCCAAGGATGGTTTCAATGTCTCTTTAAATCGGCGATGTTCTAGCCAATTTCCTGTCCCAATGAGCGACTGAACTAGTCTCATATTCTTCGTGTTTTCTTCGTAGCGCGTTTGGTATCCTTGTCGGAGTTCGGTCATTGGTGCAGAGCTTCATGAATTTCAGACTACTCTTCATTTGTAAAGCATTGTTCATTTACTTGTCTATTTGTTTATTTTTTGACCATATACTCACAATAACTTACCATACCGAATCTCTTGGGTCCATAACTTTCTTTGATAAGTTTCTGTCGTCATCGAAGCCAACTTTCCGGTTTGAAGTTTCTAGATATCCAGTTCGCTTCCTTCTATGTCTATTCAGTTTCCATTGAGATTTTTCCGTATAATCGAACACATGATAATACCTGTTGAGGAGGTGGTAAGGTTTTCAGGTGAACGTCAATGGTGCTTATCCCACGGTCCGCTAATGGCTGAGCTTGTTCGGAAAAGCTCCGTGCACATACGCGATGCAAGAATAGCGGGTCTGTATGATTTGGAACATACTATTGGTCAAGGACATTTTGCTGTTGTAAAATTAGCAAGACATGTGTTCACTGGGGAAAGGGTAATTTACTCGTTCATTACAATTCGCATTAGTCCTTAGAATTTCAATAGCGGTTCGTTTTGCGACCGAAGGAAGAACGGATTCGTTCGCCTAATTCAGGTCGCTGTCAAAATCATCGACAAGTCGAATCTCGATCGTGAGTCGATGGAGCATGTCATGCAAGAGGTTGGGCTTCTTACCTTAGCTTTGATCTGTTTGCTTTGACCAGTAACTCTGTCGTTAAGGTGCGGTGTATGAAGCTGGTGCAGCATGCGAACATCGTTCGTCTCTATGAGGTCATCGACACCAAGACGAAGTTGTTCCTGATTCTTGAGCTTGGCGACTACGACATGCACGACTTCATCATCAAGCATGAAAATGTATTTGACTTCGGTGGCTTTGCATCTATTAGGTACATATTTGGACATTCTGGCACTTAACGTAGTCTGATGCTTTAGGGTATTGCGGAACCACTGGCCCAACAGTATTTCTATCAGGTTATAACAGCAATCGACTACTGTCATCGCCTTCATGTGGTACATCGTGATTTGAAGGTGTGTTCTGTTTTGTATATTTATTTATTTCTCTTTTCCTTCATTGTTTGGATGAAGAAATTTTCAATTTTTCAATAATTTAGTGGTGAGTGTATTCTCAGTTGTTTCGTTTTCTTCTTTGAAGTACTGCTGCTTTACTTTGTGACCACTGGGTGTGATTTTGCTTCAACTTACATTTCATTGGATTTGGACAAATTTGACTTTAACTGGATTGAAGAGATTCGAGGAGAGTTCATTAAAAAATCAGGTGTCACTGGCTTTTGTAGCCGGAAAATGTCGTGTTCTTCGAAAAGCTCGGAATGGTGAAGTTGACTGACTTTGGATTTTCAAATCTGTTTGAACCTGGAAAGCAGTTGCGCACTGCTTGTGGCTCTCTGGCATACTCAGCTCCTGAAATTCTCCTTGGAGACGCCTATGATGCTCCAGCGGTTGGTAAGTAATACGTGACATTCGTACTGGCCTACTTTCGCTTTCTTTTAATCGTTGAACATTTCTCACTTTTTAGACGTTTGGTCGCTAGGAGTAATCCTTTTTATGCTTGTATGTGGTCGATTGCCCTTTCAAGAAGCAAATGACTCCGAAACTCTCACTAAAATCTTGGATTGCCACTATATTACACCTGAACACCTCTCCAACCCGTGTAAAAAGTGGGTTCATCTTTGAAAATATCATAAAATTTCTCTACAAGCACATTTCAATATGTACTAGTTAACTTATCGTCGAAGCAGCTTTTGAGAGTTAACTTACGCTTGCATTTGAGAGCAGTCTAGTGCATTGAAAATGTGGTTCGAATTCATTAACGGAAGAATACGTTTTTAGTCCCCAGTTTCCAGTTTGAATAATTCTACTGCTAACTGGTTGTTTAACAGAAGACTGTATGCCTGGATTTCAATGCGCATCAGTGCTTTTTTTGATGGTTTCTATTGCCGCTTTGAGTTTTGTGAGTAAAGCGTGGTCCCTGAAGATCCATTTGATATGTTTGGCACATTTGTGACGGTATAAATTTATTGAAGCTTATACATTTGCGGAAAATCATTGCGCATTTTATCTAGACAAACATATTTAAGCGTATAGTGAAATTTACTTGTTTGGTAAAAGCTATTGCACTATATAGATTTTTAAAAACAGTGGAAGTTTTGTTACTCTACCAAGGTGAAGCTTTCAAGGGTTCGTGCTTCGATTCACCGGGCATCTAAACAGGCCATCTGCGCATTGGGTTCAATGCAGTCGATTGTTAGCCAAAATTAGGCGTTTTTTTTTTCATAGTGTCTCCAACAATAGTAGACGTTGTCGCGAATATTTAGAGTATTTAAGTGGTCTGTAGTTTCTGATATATGGAAAATGAGAAATGCTTCTGGTTCGTTTAGCCTAATCCAACGTATGCTGGTACGTGATCCATCACAAAGAGCAGTGCTGGCAGAGATTGTATCGAATGCTTGGGTGATGGCAGGAGACAGGGGCCATGCTGCGGTTAGTGGACAAATTCTTAGTTAAAACTAGATTTGTTTATATTTCATCCTCTTATTTTTGTCGATAATGAACGGTTTCAGGCTTTACCTCTAATTGTCAAGCATCATTTGTCTCATTCCACGCACACAACTATCATTGAGCAAATGGTGGCAGGTGGCGTAGGATCAGAAGAAGCTATTTTGAGGTACAGATAGGTGTTGAGCTTCGGAGTTCTATGTTCTTTTAGTATTTTCTTTTTTAGATCAAAACGATTGAAATTATTCCTATATAGCCTAGTATACCTTGAGCGTTCAAAGCTTTCCAGTAGTCTGGTGCAAATTTGGGACCTGGGTTCATGGGATAGAAATAAGTTCACAATGGCAATCCTAAGTTCATTCTGTATATATTTAGTTTTTAGCAACCGTTCAGAACGTGAACTTTTTTATGCCATTTTATTCGATTTGTGATCCAATATCTAATAGTTCCAATGGTTTACCGCCTCATCGTGGCTGGAAGGTGTTTCTGGGTGTCGGCCTGCGATGTGCAGCGGGTGGATCCATCCCCCCGGCAGAGTCTCCCAAGGTGAGAAGGAGTCCAGCGTTTCCATCGTGAAGTCCAGCTAAAAATAAACCAATACCAGGACCTACTACCGTCCTGGTATTAAACTAGTTGCATGATGGCAAATCTCCTTTTAATCCACAAGAGCAGCGACTTCCTGTGGTGGTGACGACCTGGGCCATACTTTGGCCTGGATGACCTTGGGACTCCAGAGAACCACATTGACTATACCAGCAAAACTCCGACAAAATGGAGATTTGCTGGGGCGTACAGTCGGTGGGGACGGGGCATCCAAGTATCCAAGTGCTCTTCCATTTCGCATTTCTTGGAAGTCACTAGTTTTACAATACCGAATGTTATACACCAAAACTCTCTCTATTAAGACTGAGAGTGTCATTTCAGTAACGTCTAACAAACCGAACCCGTTTGTTCAAGTTCGCCCGCGTTTTTGAGTAAACCGCGAGCCTTGGATGTGTTCACTCATATCTATTTTTTGTTTTAAATATCCACAACTGCTCGCTATGCGCGATTTTCCATCGTTTTTTTACAGTGGTCCTTCCCACTTTGTGAATGAAACAAGTTCTGGTGCTAAGTAGGCTTTGAGTCCAATGGAAGAAATCTTTGATTACATCTACTACGCAGTATCATGACTACGAAGATATCAAGTTGACACTATTGTTTTTGAGAATTAAGCTGATAGTGTGAAGCTTACCGTTAAACGGTTCATATAGTTGTCCGTGATTACCTTTCTTGCCGTTAATATTGGCGTAAGGTGCATGCTATAGAAAACTGCTTATAAGGGATGATTTACGTTGTCGTTCCAATCATTTATTGTCAGCTTAACCACCGTGTGGGTTATATTTCAAGTACGTTTCTTTTTTCCGTCACTGAATTCTTTAAAATTTTCTTAAACGCTTGAAGTTCCGTTTTCAAATCACTTCCTCCAATTGGTAATTGGACACGCCTAGTTCGTTCTCAGTGACTGCGCAAGTTGGTGAGGAACAGTTGATGATACTTATCTTCTTTTGACGCAAAATTTGAACAAACTGGATGGTGAGCAAAACTTACACGAAATTTCCATCGAAAAGGCTTAAGGTGGCCATTGTATTACATGTTTTTACCATCCACACGTGAGAGGTTAAAAAAAACCTTGGTGGATGTTGGGTGCCAGAAAGTGAACGGAATGCAAGTGTTACGATCCACACAGCAGGTGTAATGATGGATCATGTGAAACAAGATAATAGAATGGGCAATGAAAATTAATTTTAGCGGTTTCATGCACTCTGTCGTTGGCTTTCTTTGTGTGCAGTAAATTCGAATTTTCTCGTTGTTAGACGATGCCCTGGGGTTTAATGTGATTGTTATGGTCTCGGCCATTTGTCGTTTCAGCAAAAAATGCGTAGAATGATTCGAAATGAAGTAAAAATATCTTGTTTTTTTTAGTTTTAGTGATGTTAGCGATTCTTTCTCTAATAATATCGCTTGCTATAACAAATGTTTTATTGTCTTTTCTGTGCTGATGAACGTAAATCGGTCAGGCAAAATCGAATCCTTCCCTAAAAGTACCACTTCTATCTTCCGACTTTCTCATCTTACACTTTTTTATATCTTGACAGTTTTTTGAAATTATATCAGCAAGAATATGCAAGTGATTCTAGAACTGCTCCATTTTTCTTTCCTTAGGTTAAAATTCTTCGAAAATTGGTCCCAGAGATTGTAAAAAAGTGATATTTATATATCTAGAGCTCTTGAGAACGATGAATACAATTCGATGACGGCAACTTATTATCTTCTTGCTGAACGCGTCCTTGCCACCTATAGGGAAGAGCAAGCTAAGGAATTGATGAATAAGACAGGGAGTACCATACCTGACGAGGACTTCATAGAAAGGTTTTTTTTAGTTTTGTCGAAGTCTTTTTGGTTACTTCTTCTTTTTTTGCAATTTGCTGTAATCAACTTTATGCATTAATTTAATTCGAGCTGTGCTTTCGAATACCTAGAAGAGGTGCTTTTATTCTTGTTGTAGAAGGAGCTGCTTCTATTTCCACTATAAAGTGACCAAAGCTATAGTGGAGAGCTTTTTTCCAACGTGGGAAATTTTTCGTTTCGTTTGCCTCAGAACATTTTTTCAGTGCTTCTCGCACCCATGCCATGTCACAACCGGCTGGATCTCGGTGTCGTAGCAGATCCAGTTCATGGCGTGCTCGACCATGTTCGATCCTCAAAGAGGAGAGCGAGGAAGAGTTGACTTCATATCTGCGTTCTAGCCGTCATAGTAGTCGGTTTGTCTTATTTTTTTCTGTTTTTCTATTATTTAGTTTTTTGTTAGTTTACTATTTGTTATTGTAGTACCTGTTTCTTTACCATAATGCTGATTACTATCGTATCCCTTTCTATATTGTTTCAAATCATGTTTTGTAGTTTTGCGCGCGTCCATAGATTTAATTTTCCTCTTTCTTTCTCAATTTCTCTTTGCTTTTTGATCATGTAAATCCGTCATCCTCTTTTTTCATCAAATCATTTTCCTATCTCCCATGCACACTGAGTTTAAATGGCAATGAAGTTGCTGCACTCTTGCTTCTTTGCGGGAAATTTTAATAAGTTCAACGACAATAAGTTTAATAAATTCAATGTTGATAAAAAGTTCAATAGTAACTTATTTAATAAGTTCAATGATATCTTTCCTATTGTAAAGTATTGTCATGTTACTGTAAGGTTTATTATAAGTCACATCTCAATCAAGCAGAAATATTCGCTTCTGTGGTGCAGTGCATCATATTAGGGTCAGCGCGAGTAGTGTCCAGCTAATTGAGTAAGAGAGGAGCTTCTGGAGCGGTAAAATTAGCGAACTGTCAGAAAATGTCTGGCTGACGATTTTTTTTTGCAAAAAAGTGGCTATAACATTTGAAAATTACTTCATTTGCGTGCACGTAAATTTTTTTACATAACCTGATACCACATATTGTGCGAGAACATCTCAAATTCGATTCCTTTTTTCGTATTGGGCATCCATAAAAGCCTTCGAATTTTTGCTTATGGGCTCGGCTGGTTGAAGATTTCTCATCTTCATAATGAACGTCATTGATCGAGTTGATTCTTCCTGTCTTGAGATACCTGCGCTAGGGAGTTTCACATCTCCACGAGGGATGGGAGGCTTGGGTTGCCCGGGATAAGGTCGAACTAGGTCTTCGCTTGTGGATTCTGTCTGCTGCGGCGCTACCATCGCATCTATGTAATAGTGGATAAAAAAAGTTGGATCATTTCAATGTGTATTAGTTATAACTGAAGATTTTTGGCTTAGATTTAGACTTTTTGTTTTCAGGAACTCTTCACCTGCAGTCTCAATGTTTAGTAGCACACGTGAACGTGTAAGTCCACAGGCTATCCAAGACCTTTTGGAATTGTGTCGATTAGGTAATTGTTTGTATGACATTGTTAATATCTTGCCGAGAACTATGCGTAAACTTCGATTAGATAGAGGATTTCGAAATATTGTTCAAATGAGTTGTCATTTAGAATGGACTTATTTATTAGGTTTCAGACTTTATCTGTGGAATGAAATTTAACAGTTTCCGAGCGAAGTAAACTGAGTTTGAATGAGTTTAATGTACCAGTAAATGAGCCATAAATGATTTATTTTATTATGTTTTTCCTCGTGCTGCATATATGCTTTCTGCTCTACCTCTTTTATTAAATCGATAGTTCCTTTGTATAATATACTACTCCAGACGTCATCGGAGAAAAGCTATTTTCTGCACTGCTGTTTAGAAAGGGCACGTATGGCGCAGTGATCGGAGGCGCGCTGCAATACACATGGGGACGATTCTCGAGCCCCTGACCCGCCAAGGCCTCAACCGCTCCGGGGTCGGCAAATTGGTACCTGTCTGGGAGGATAGCAGCACTGGCTCGATGCATCGGTAGGCCACCGCGGGTCGTTGTAAAGTCCAGATATGCATTCACTGACCTCCAAACGATGATTAATGAAATTAAATGCATGGCGCATCCCTAAGGGATTGATCAAGCCGAGAGCTTTACCGTTTAAAAAGAGACATTTATTGGTATGAATTAGTCGTCCTCTTCATGTCCCGGTGCTAATTCTTGTTGTTTTTTTTTACAGAAAGAGAAACGCAAAACGTTGTCGCTTTCTGAGCACTATGGTAGCACAAGTGTTGTACGAATCGTATTCTCGCGCAACGAAAAGTTTGGGAGTTGTCCTGTGGCACAGCTGCTGTAATTTAAGTGTCTTCGCGAATGTATTTAATTTTTTCTAAGTTTCGTAGTAGTGAAGTGGAATGTGTTCGAAATGGATGAGACAACATCCAAAGGACCATTTCATGTTTCGTCTATAAAATATGACTTGTTGACAGCGATAAAGGTCACGTAGATATCCAATTGTTGTGGTTGGTGATTTATTGGCAAGTTAAATTGAGAGGAAAGATTGTGTTGTTCAGGTGGTCGTCGAGCCATAAGTCCAGAAAGTATACGGAGCAGTCAATCGCCATCTCCTCCTAGTAGCAGTGGAAGAAGCTCTCCAGGTAAGTGAAGTTTTTCATATCTTTTTATTACGTATTCTAGGGAAATTCAGGTATCCCGTTTCATATACTACATTTTGTACAATGAAGTAATCGCGTAAATGTATAGGTGGATAAGGACTAAGGATAAGGTTTATATAGGGACACAACTGTTAAAGAACGGTGGGTTTCAGCCGTATCATCTCTGTCGTCATTGTCTCGCTTAAAGTTGTCGTCTTCGTCGTTTTCGGGTGGCATGCGGAAGCTTTCCTCCTCTCCGCATCTGCTGGGAATTTGTGAAGAAGGAGAAGATGCAGAATCTGTTACCACTCCCTTGCCCACTGCACGACAAGTGAATACCAGGGCGAGCAGGTCTTCAGTTTTATATCCATTTCTAAAGGATAGTAATTTTTAGCGATATAGGTAACCTTAAGATGCAGGTTATAGTATCTTGATTGACCTTCCTTTTCTTTTTCGTCCTTTTCGGTGCCATCTTTCTATTCTACTAGGTTTTTTACTCTCGTTATATAAAGTGTAACTATCAATGTGTATGTTAATTAAGTATGGAACTAGGTAATTAAATGTAATATGACTAGGTCTGCGTCAACTGGAGTTGTACATATTCGCCATGGAACAGCGCAATCGTCAAAAGGTATGGGCTCGCATCCACAACCAACGTATAGGTATGTGTAGAATGATTCTTCTTGTTGTGCATATGATATCTATGGTTTTTCTTTCCAATTCGTTACAACAAATTGTCGTTCTAGTTGGTGAGAAAGAAAAAGATTTTTCTTTGTTACGTGTATTCATGACCAATGCTGCTGTTCACATGTAAGTGTTAACGACATCCTGTTATGCTGTACTTTATAGCCGTTTTCATATATTTACTGGATTCATTTTAATAGCACGGCTTTTTTAAATTATACTTACTGTGGTAGACTAAGTTTCAATGTTTATATACCCGTAAAAACGGCATCCAGGACGTATACAACCTTTGGTTTCAGCATTGATTTTCTTCAGAACTGCTTTTGTTAATTATTCCACGTCATGCGGTCGTAATTTGGTGGATATGTGTTGTGGATTATGACGGGGGATCGTTTCTTGGTATTATGTATTCATAATCTTTTTATCTTCCCAACGATTTATCGCCACATCATGGCTGAGAGGTGTTCCTGGGTGTCGGGCTCCGGTGTAAAGCGGGGGATTTATCCTCCTAGTATGGTCTCCCAAGCTGAGGAGTCCGACGTTTCCACCAGGAAGCTCAGCTAAAGGTAAACCAATAGCAGGATTCACCACCATCCTGGTGTCAAACTCTTCGCAAACCTCCCTCTGATCTACAAGGGCAGCGACTACCTGTGGTGGTGGTGACCTGGGCCAGACTTAGGTCAGGCTGTCATGCTCAGGACTTGAGGGAACACAATGCCTAAGCCATCAAAACTCCGAAAAGTGGAGATTGTGCTGAGGCCCACACAACCGGTGAAGTCGGGTCGTCTAATTGTGCAAGTAATTCTTTCTTACCATAACATTGCTTTTTCTCTCGGTTTAACCAGATTAGAACTTTTGTACTGTAAAATTCTAGAACTGTAATTAGCTGCATTTTACCACTCCGGTCATTATTTTAGTTCTGTTCGTATGATTCGTCCACGTCATGCAGTAGTATCACCAGATGTTTGCAAGCGCTATGAGCAAAATCAAAGACTCGGTTTACGAAGTCGATGTAGCACAAGGTTTAAGGTTTATATTTCACGGAACCTAACGACATCATATTTATTTGTTTTAAGCTGTTCCTCATCGGAAGCATCAGATGACGAGGAAGGGAAACGACTATCTATATTTGGGTCGAAGTACTGTGGGAGAAAACCAGATAGCAGTAACGATGGCGATGACAGATTTGGTGGTCAAGGTATCTTCTACGATTTATGCGTTTCTAAGAATATTAATATAAAGCGGATAAAATGTTCGGCGTCGATAATACCCTAAAGGATGCAGCATCTATTCGACCTCGTTAAACTTCTTAGAGCTAATTGAATGCATATAGATCGACTTCTGTTTGCAAAGTTGTGAAGTGTCGACTCAGTGCTACCGTCTTCTCAGACAAATATGGTATAAATTTCTCGAGCCCACAGGTACAAAAGGCGATCGTAGCTCAGGAAGCGGGACCGTACCAGCGACCGATCCAGTGTGTATTGTGAACCCCTGTGCTCTATCTGCCTTTAAATGAAATATATCTAAATATTCTCTTGAAGGTTGTTGAGTTGGAACTTGAACCATGGTGTGTTTCTGAATATCTAAAGGTGAAAGAGAACTTTTAGTATAAGTTTACGTATTCTTGATAGGCAGAAACGAGGTTAATACGATGTCTACCCCGTAATAGATAATGATTCGGTTGGTTTTGGCTCTTTAAGAGCTTAGAAGTGATCATGTTGTCACACAGTCTCATTCATGTGTTTTCGTAACCATAGTGGAAGAAGTTCAAGACATTTTCATTCTCATGGTAAATGGATTCTTTGAAAAACCGTTTTTACGGTGTGTCTTTCACGTAGTAAGAGAGGGTGTCGAACAGAGTTCACATAGAATGAGGAGTATGCTTAACTCAGATCTCAGATAAAAAGCATGCTGAGGTGTGGCGTGATGTCACTTGCGATTACAAAGCGTTATTTCCCACGGATTTCACTTTTGGATTCTTAAAGTTCAGCCAAAATGTTTCAGGAATTTTGCGCACATTTGTTCCAATTTCTTATACGCGAATTGTAACTCTTATTCCGAAGTCTTTTCCATTACACCTTTGTCTTCTGTCTGTGCTTCACGGAGAACTTTATTTGTTTTCAAGCTTCCCATTTATGTTCTTTTTTACGGACACAAAGTGGCGTACCAGCGTATTCGCCTTTGAAAAGATAATTGCATGTAACCCGCAGTCACCGTATTGTTGTTGATGAAAACGTTCTCTTTCTGTTGTGCATAGATGGTCACATAATTGCTCACGAACCAAATGGCGCCGTAGAGAGCTTGGTTACATTTTACTGACTGTCACCGACTTATCTAGAGAGGCCGTTTTCTAATGTCGCTTTATAGCTGTGACCACTTTTTTGAAATAAGAAGACGGTTAAACGAGACTTTATTTCTTCTAGACATCGTTTTGGCCTAGCTTTTCTTGTAAATGTATCCCGAAAAGCTGTTATTTCATAGGTATTGAAGGTGGGTTTTTCCATTCCAAGTGGTTCTTCCTTCTATTCTCTACCTGTGTGCACATTAGTGAGTGTAAATTGTTTAATACAACGGCTTTCGTTGTATACGTAGGATGAAAGGAGAGGTAATGTACCGTCTCCTGTTTGTTGCCTAGCCTTAATCTTTGTTTTGCGATCTAGGAGATGTACTCTCGAAAATAACGCAATATTTTAGGTGGTATTGGTGGAGGTTCCAGTGGAGATATGGAAGGACAAGGACCAGGAACAAGTGGGGGTAGTTTAAGCACAACTTCAGCCGGCGAATTGTTGCACGAGCGTAGGTTCGTAATAAACCGTTCGTTTGAGCTACATAGCTCACGCACTACTTTTAGATCGGATGGCGCATCTGAAGATTGTTTCTCCGGACACCAACATCTGTTTTCAATACCGGAAACGACTCATGCCGAAACCATAAGATTTGATGATCTTAAAGCGAGATTTTTTCATAGGTTAGTTTTGACTCTTACTCTCTGTGGAACGAAGATGTGCTAATTAGCCTTCCAGGTCGCCGACTCTTGAGCGAAAAACACAATCCTGTGCTTCAACATACGGTTTAGCTTGCGAATTTTCTTCTGCTAGAAATATCCTTCAGGATATTACTGATTCTTCAGTGCAACGTAGTACTTATGAGGCGAGTTGCTGGATCAGCATTTTCACACGAGATCACCCGCATAATGGAATGATGTTGGTGCGTTTTCTTTTCTGTATTTGTTTTGTTAAGTGACTCTCTCCTCGTTTAGTGTTGAATTGGTGCACACCTTTTTTTTATATCGAACTCGTGCTACCCACAGCAAAACGCGCGAACTATTGAGTGAAGTTGTACACGGTTTTCATTCAGTAGGCGGTTCATGATGATGGAGCTACTGTCTTCTGCTTCCTGGCGGGTGATAATTGTATTAGTTGTGCGGTGGAATGTAGGTCTTCCAATCACAGAATAATTACTGGCTCGAAGTGGAATGCTAGGCTTTGTACGAGTTTGCCACGCCACACTTTCTGTGGTTGCCTAGTTGAGCAAATTAACTGAGTGAACTAGGTAAGCGAAACTGAGCGAACTCCGAGGGAAGCGCTCACTGAGATGATTTGTAATGCTGCTTATATTCCTGTAATGTGCGGAGTTTTGATAGAAGGAACAAGGAATAATGCTCAAAGGAGGATTCTAGAACGTTTCTCAGTTGGTGCAATCTGATAGAACTGCTTAAGAGGAAGATATGGTACATGTGGAAAATTACATCACATAAGATGGTATGTAAGGTGCTACGTTAACGTAATTTTCATCACATTAGCGGTTCAAAGGCTTGTACAGAAAGTTCATCGGATAGCGAAGGAATAGCTTGTACAGGAAGCATCTCGTACAGGGAATAGTTACTCTGATGGTTTTCACTGAGATTGATGTTTGTACATCTTGCTTATTTCTTTCTACAACTCTAAACCTTTATCATTTGGAAAAAAAAACCTTGAATTTTTCACCGCCCATGCGAATGTAATGCATCTAAGATCCGAAGATCCGTGTGAAATCCGAGGCACGAATTCTTCTAAAGTGACACATTAGTTTTTCACATGTCACGGAGTCGTTTTCGAGTTTAATTTTTCCTTCTTGAAATATTTTGCATCCGCGTTTGTCACTCATTCCATGTCTTATGTGGTAGCGGATGTAATTTAGGCTGAATGCTTGTTCGGTGATAGCGATTCAGTATTCGATGCTCGGTTGGAGTCGATATCGTCCTCGGGGGAAGATATTGACGAACGAGCAAGTGATTCAGGATGTTCCAGTGAGAAAAGTGGAATAGTGTTTTCGAAAGGTGGTACATGCAAGGTGAGATTAGCGATGATAGGGGTTAGGGACACTTTTAAGTTCCCACTTACTGTGGTCTTCTGTGCCAGTTGGAATATTTTCAGAGATCTGAGTTTTCTTCAAAGTCTTTGCTCGATGCCCTACTGTTCTATGATCAACCCCTTTGCGAAAAGGTCACTTCGTGGCTATGTTCTGCACATTTTGCCTAATTGTCCAAGTATCTGTCTCTACTGCTTTTTTCGAAGGCTAGGATAGAACTTTTTGTGCTATTGGCAATCTCCTAAAGAAAAGCTTATGCCACGCCTACATATACAATTGTATTTGCTCCATCTTATAATAATATTTCAGAAAAGTTTCCATGTACTTGTATGCAGTTATAAAGTTGAGTTTTTACTAGTGCTTTCTACTGACTTAAGAGTGTCCATCGCTAGTGCCACCCATTCATTTGGGTTGTGTACACGTGGAAGAGCTAATCACTTCTTAAAAGCATGTTTTGTTTTTGTGTGTTGTATTGTGAGGTTTTAGTTACGGAGACGTTTCTCAAGAATTGACTCTCTCGGTGTTCTCATGTCATTGTTCTTTTTTTTGTTTGAGCTTTTTGTTACATAAAGATTTTTAACCCTAACGAATAATAACATAATGTTATGTACGTAAACAGGCTATGACAATAAAGCATACTGAATTATCAACTCATTTTTCAACAATTGCTGTGATAGTCATACCTTCCAAGAAAGGTTCCTTATGTTTTCCTGGTTTACAGTGAGTTTTAAGTCAGAGGGAAGTCCTTGAGTTTGTTATCTATGAACTCATTTAGTCATCACGCTGACATCCTTAGACAACTGCGAGTGGAGTAAATATCTTTGTGTAGTGCATTGCGATGCTGATAGCTAAACGTTTCAGTTGCTTCTCGAATGTCGATGAGTGGACAGTACGAACACCACATGGAGGAAGTCTTATAAGCTATACTTACTATCTTCTTCCTGCAAGCAATGAGTTGTCTAGGTATATGTAGCATCTATAAGTTGTATTTGGATACTTGGATGGGCTGTCCTCGTTGGTTTTGCGGACCTGGGCATAATCTCTATTATTTCGGAGTTCTGCTGGTTTAGCCATTGTAGTTCTCTGGAGTTCCGAGGTCAGCCTGGCCAAAGTCTGGTCTAGGTCGTCACCACCACAGGCAGTCGTCCCCTTTGTGGATCAGAGGGACATTTCCCACCATGCAACTGGCTTGGTACCAGGACTATGGTGGATCTTGATATTCGTTCGCTCTTAGCTAGGCTTCCTAATGGAAACGCCGGACTCCTTCTCAGCATAGGAGGCCTTGCTAGGGGAATGAATTCCCTTGCTGAACATTGGACCCAACACTCCAGGAACACTTCACAGCCACGATGAGGCGGTAAACTGTTGGGAGGATCTACAAGTTATAGTTTGTTTAACCAAGCAGTCTGTTTTATTTTCGACCACATTTTTGCTCATCAATTGAGATTACTTCCTGATGTGCAATGGTCATTCTTTCCACTAAACATCAGGACATTCAGCGAGTATAGTGGTTCGGAGGTTTATGTGTCGTCGGTCGCTGAGCGGTGCCAGACCAGTTTTTCAAACTACTATTAGGAAGAAGCAGATAGCCACTGCACTGAAGTGGCCCTTGTATAAGTCTCAAAGCAATGAGGTGGTGAATTCTTCCGGTTATTTTCCACTTTTTCTGTTTATCGATTCATTTCATGCAGCTTTTTTATAGTACAATTGGGTAAAATGCTCATTATCTAGCAATATATTCTAGTACAGTGTTATTTATCAATACTATTCTTACAGTCATTTCGGCTAAGTGAAGAATTACTGAAATTGCAGTCGTATTGGAAGCCTATTTATGAAGCTCCCAGAGACAGGAGCAAAACAAGGGTTCGTTTATGCCAATATAGCTGGTCACTTTTTTAAAAATCTGTTGATGTAGACACCCAATATTGTTTTTGACGTTCCTATTAGCGGAACATTTTACAGAACGCGCCGTCGAAGTATATTCTGTCTATGTTCCCTTACCCGTCAGGCTCTCTACATATGGGCCATATGAGAGTGTACACCATTTCTGATGCGACGGCGAGGTATTTTCGTTTAAACGGTTTTGATGTGAGTCAACTAAACAACGTCAGTTTGAATACGCATGAGTTCGCTGTAACAACTTTTTGCCTAGGTTATACATCCAATTGGTTGGGATGCATTTGGTTTACCAGCAGAAAATGCCGCTCGTGAAAGAGGGGTTGACCCACGACAGTGGACAGTGTCGTGAGTTTTGCTAAATAAGTTTTAAGGAAAAAGCTGTGGGATTTTCCCTAGTTCATGTTACCTTTCGTCTCTTCAGTACACACATATCATATCCCATGGTTTTCGCAAGTCTTTATTATTGTTGACCATTTACACGCATTGCTTACAAAAAGCTTGGATTTTCGATGGCCAATGAATACATTAAGGTTGTTGATAAGAGGTTTTGAATGCTACTAAATGTTAGCAGTTTATAGAAACATCGAGTCGATGAAGAATCAGTTGTTACAGACGGGTATTATTTTCGACTGGGATAGGGTAGGCGTCTTTAAATTTGGACAGATTGAAGCTTCTTACGCAGCAGAAGCCACCTAAGTTTGCCGAAATTTTACAGGAACTGTCCACATGCGACCCATCATTTTATCGCTGGACCCAATGGATATTTCTACGTTTACATGATAGAGGACTAGTGAAGCGAAATTTGGCTGAGGTAAGTTGATTAGGTTTTAGCTAATCACAATCGAGAACGCAAATTGCATCAGTATCCTATTGTGCTAATAATATATGACATATTAGAGGAGAACTTCAAAGGCTGAAGCGACGAAGTAACTCAAGTTAAATACAACCACAACGTTGCTGAGATATTTGCAAAACTCTGGACCGCAGGTGTCTATGGTGGGGAACGAACGCGCTATTATCCTTTCCGGGGAGTAACGCGTTCACCACCACACCGTGCGGGTCCTTTGTTTCGCACGTCTCTCAGCTATTTCTATCGATCTTTTTGCCACAGCAATCACCCGTCAGCGGGGTTGATCTGGGGAGCGCTAATCGGCATAGAACCCAGTTAAGCTATGGCTGTAGTTGAAATTACAATGTTTAACGTTTTGTTTTCTGTCTTCTATAATTTTCATGGCAGGTTACTAAGCGAAATACAACCACAACGTTGCTGAGATATTTGCAAAACTCTGGA